GGGACGGAGCGGGGCACTGCGGAGCAGCCCGGGGGCAGCGGCACACACACGGGGGGGGGGGGGCGGCAGGTTTGATGACGGGAAAAAAATACATTGATTTTTTCCGCTCGATACCGAGCGGGAGGGGGGAATTATCGGCGGGGAAATGCCCCCGGTGCGAGCAGAGCACAGCGCGCCCGCGCCGCGGGGTTCGGCTCCACGGGGCGATGCGGGGCGCGGTGCCGCGGGACCCCCCGGACCCCGAGCGTCCGCCTCCCAGAGCGCCCGACGGGCGGCATCGCGACATCAGGGCCGCCCCCCCCCGCTCCTCGCCCGCTCCCCCCGGCCCTCAGCGCCTCCCGCCGCCCCCCGCCCGCCCCCCCAGCCGCTCCCCGGTCGCGGTTCGCACGAACCCCCGGCGCTCACCCAGCAGCGCGCCCAGCAGCAGCGCGCCCGGCGGCAGCGCAACCATCCCGGAGCGCAGCAGGTGCCGGGACGGGGGGGGAACCGGGGGGGGGGGGGGGGGCGGAGCTCAGGTGGGCACCGCCCCGCAGGTGGGGGCGGGGATTGTGGGGCGGGGCGTCTTGGCCCCGCCTCCCGGGGTCCAAACTGCCTCCCCTCCCATCCAATCAGACCTTGTCACTGATTATTTATTAGCTATTAGGGCTATTAATAGTTAATTGTGATATTAGGGCCATTATTGTGGAAGGAGCCCAGTGCCCCCGACACACCTTCTCTTCTTCTTCCTCATCCCGTGCCCTGGGATAAAAGCATTAATCCTTAAAAAGAATAATTAAAAAAACCCACAGAACCCCACAAAAACGAACATCGCGACCCCGTGGGTTAAAGGGAGCCCGGCAAACAAGCAGGACAAGGAGCTGCCTGGCCACAGGGCACAGCTGGAGCCACAGGAGCTGAGTGGCACCTGGAGCCTCGGAGCAGAAACACGGCAGAAACCCCATGCGGGGATGGGATCCTTGGGAAGGGACCAGGACAGAGGACGTCCTCTACTGGGATCAGCTCCAGGAGCCCTTCTGAGCGTCCCCCCTGCTGGGCACTGCAGGGCGGCTGTCAGAGCGCTGCTGTAAAAGCAGCCTTTCATCCTGAAGTGCCTCCCCAGGACAGCGGCCCTGCCAGCCTGGGTCAGAGGGAAGCTCTGCATCACAACACAGCCCCAGTGCTGACGCATCCAACATCCCAGCCCTCTCCAGCCCCACACTCAGCCACGGGCCACGTTTGTGGCTTCTTGTACTTGAGCTTGTTTTCTCCAGCCACAAACGAAGCAGCAGAGTTGGCCATAGGAGGGCAGCTGTCACCATGCCTCACAGAAATTCAAGGAGTCCTTTGCGCTGCACCAAAGGTCTCCCCGTGCCGAGACCCGAACTTAACAGGGGAAGCAGGCGGGGCAGCGGGTGAAGGCATCTCCCACGGACACGGCTCTGAGGTCAACCGCACACGGAGCAGCCCGGAGCCCGGCGCCCAGCAGCGCGCCGACATCGCCTGCAGAGCCGCGGAGGTGCCGGGAGGCGGCCCCCGTCCCTGCAGCAGCCCGGCTCCGGCTGAGCCCTGCGGGGACGGCAGCACGGCCGCGTCCGCCATCGCTCCTCGCCGCTGCACAGCGGCGCAGGTCCCGGGCGTCAGGACGGAGGCGCAGCGGGCACTGCTGGGTGCTGGCGGCCGACAGAAGGGAGGCTCCGTCCCCACGGAACGGGCGGAACGGCGGCCGCCCCGAGAGGAGAAAGACGCCTCCAGGAGCCGGTGCGCGTTTGCTCGATTTTATTAGGACTGACACATTCATCGTATGCCACAACGCCACTGATCAATGAGCTTCAGGAAACCGAAACGCCGGCGCCAGCCAGCGCGGTGATGGGGCACACATAGCGACACTTCTGAAAGGCTTCCAACGCTTCCTCCCGGCCCGCGTGCCCCCAGCCCGCCCCCCCCGTCCCCCCCGTCCCCCCCATCTCACAGCTTTGATTGTACCCATAAGCATGGTTTGACAGAATGCTCCCCAGCTGCCAGGTTATTCTCACAAAGAGGCTAACTAGAACTGAAAAAATAAACCGATAAAAATAAAAATAATAAAAGCCCGGGAATTATTTTAATGTTAAAAAATAAAATAAAATAAAATAAAAGCGGATATGGCAACACTACTAGGAAAGTGGAATACATCACAGAAACAAAAGTCTTTGCAGGCAACACTGTTTGGAGATAGGAGAACACTGGATGGGTGAAAAAAGTGAATTTCTAAATTATATACAATAGTATCTAAGGGTGGCTTTGAAAAACAGTCTCCTTTAACGTGATTCAAGATTTAACTCGCCGTTATCTATTGCTTATTTATTCAGATCTGTAATAACACTTATAGACGGATGTGTAAAAATGAGACCTTGTGGAAAAACAGCTTTTCGTATGAAACGTCCGCTCCGTCCGACATGGAATGTATGGGATGTGCGGGGCAGGGCTCAGGCTGCCCTCGTCGCCCCGCGCTGCTCCACGGCCCAGCAGCCCCCCTCAAACGCTGCTGAGCAGCGCCTTCGCCTCGCGGCCGTGCGCAGCATCCATCAGCGTCCGACGGTGAGATGGGAAACGGGCAGAAGCCGCAGTCCTTATGAAGGACGAGATTCAGTTGTTGAATTTTAAGGGGTATCCAATGGCTTTTTCCAGGCACTCTACCAAAGAGCCAGCAGAAAGAAAATCCCTCTCCACTTCCACAAATTTGATGTAGATGGATTTTGGGGAGACCCCGGGCTCTACGACGCAGTTCTGAGATAAAAACGCGTTGATCCCAACCCACTCTTTGCTGAAGGTTTTGGTGTTTGCCTGAAAATGTAAAAACAGGCACTGCTGGAGAGTCCTGACCTCAGCGATGCCGAGGTAACAGTAGATGATGCGGGCGGACTCCATCTCCACCCGCAGCGAGGCCTGCGGCGACGGCACCTCCAGCTCCCCCGGAGTCTCATGGCTGGGATCGGCGCCCCGCGGCTCAGCCAGAGGCGAGTGGGGCTTCTCGTGGCACTCCTCGTAGCCGATGGCGTACAGACCCGGGCTTTTGGGGATGCCCCCGGGCAATAAATACTGGACGACGTTGCCTCCCGTCGGCTTGGAGTGAGCGATGGGTATCCAGTCAATCTCCATGTGCAGCTCGAGGCACCTCGCTTCGCTGATGGTGATCTCCAGGAATTTGTAGTACACGTTCTTCCAGTTCATTTTCTGCACTCTGGTCATGATGACTCTGCCCTCCGGCTTCTCCGAGTTGAAATACTCCCGGAGCCGTTTGCCCAGCGGCACCTGTGAGCTGATCTCCGCGTAGTGGTAGCGAATGTCCTCCTTCCAGCGCGTGTTGTAGCCGATGCCGAAAATGGCCAGTTTGTTGGAGAGGTGCAGCCTGGAGAAGTCCGTCCAGCTCTGGAACAGCTCCCACTTCAACTGGACAGACTCCAAGATTTGCATAATGTTCTGCATGACGTCGCGCTTCCTGGAAAAACGGACAGAAGCATAAAGCTGTCAGTAACGGCCCAGAGCTGCAAACCATCCCGGGCTACAGGAGAAAGCACCGCCTGCACAGCAGGGCCGAGCCCCAGCTCTGCTTCCCAGGCCCCTCTATGATGTGGGAAGACCACAGCAAACACCACCACCAGCAGCAGCACCGGGCCACGCAGGCCGCTCCTCAAGCAGTGGGCATTCCACTCCTGCATGCGTCCCGCATCCGTACGTGAGCTGCTGGGCTGTAACACCACCACCATCATTAACCTCATCAACAACAAAAACAATAAACAAAGCAGAACTTCATCACATCTCTCTAGCAAGATACACCTGCTGGAGAAGGTATTTAGTGCAACAAGATCTGCAGGAGAGAACCTGGAGAGGAGAACCAGAGCTGCCCTGCACACAGCTCTGAGGAAGGTTCGGCTGCCAGCCCCTGCATCGTGCTGTGCACAGCTCGCGCCCCTGCTGCTGGAAGGCCATGGCAGCAAACGGCTCCCATGTACCACAGGGTCAAAGGGACGCAGCACTCGGTCACTGACAGACGTGCACACCCTGAGACACCTTGCTGCTCATTCCTTCAGCTTAGCCTGCTGTTCCCCTGCACAAGTTCAAGTGCATTTGCCTTCACCTTGCTTTAAAAGCAAAGTCAGAAAAAAGCACAGAACTTTGTTTGGGGTTTTTTCGTGCTTCCATAATCCAAAAAACGTCACAGATTTTTTTTCAGCTTTCCCACTCTCCCTGTGACCTGGGGCTGTTCCAACCAACTGCGCACAGCCATCCTCCTCTTGTTTGAGTATGACTACTGCACCCAGAAGCTGTGTGTGCAGCCCACCAGAGGGGAAATAAAGAAGCTCCCGCGTCTCCAAAGATCTCTTTTGGCTGTCAGTAACAGGACAGCAGCAGGGAGGCAAGCAGCACTGCAGGCATTCACACTTCACTAAGCGATCAGGTGGGAGCTTTTGCATACAACTGAAGCAAGCTGGAACAGCTTCCTTCCTGATGAATGAGACACTTAGGGCACAGTTAGTGGAGAGAACTACTGATTTCAGGAGTTACTGTCCTATAATCCAATCTGTAGGAAGACGATGCAGCTGTGTTGGTAACTGAGAAACCTCTCAGCCCAAGAACTGTGATTTGGAAGCTGCTCACTCAACCCTCCCTAGAATTGTCCTTCCACAACAGCTCCCAGCAGCTAGGGCACGGGCTGCTGAGACAGTAAGGTCAGAAGTATCCACTTGTTACGGAGCAAGTGCTTAAGCAAGAGCAGACAGCATCCCTCAGACTGCAGGGAATAGAAACGGGGCTGGTACTCAGTTGCTTCTTTGCCCCACGTGGAACAGAAGCACGTTCCTTCTTCCACTGTTCATAGAATCACAAAATCATAGGGTCCCAGAATCATTGAGGCTGAAAAAGACCCCCTAAGATCCCCGAGTCCAACTCACCCCACTGTGCTCCCTGCCCACCTCCCTCCGTGCCACATCCCCACAGTTCTGGAGCACCCCCAGGGATGGTGACCCCACCACCTCCCCGAGCAGCCGTGCAGTGCAGCACCATTTTGCACTATACTGATGTAACAGTGCAAAGAAAAAAGGTTTGGGTTCTACAGACCCTTTCAACAGTGCAGGAGGGCTTCAATTACACGGCCTCTCATCCCAGAAAACTGCTTCTTGGAGGTGCTGCACATCCACATGAAGCCCCACACACTGGGTCTGAGCAGCCCAGGCTGAAATCACTCTCCTCACAGCAAGACTCATCTCAAACTTGCAGTTTAGACATCTGGAAGTGCAAGTTCATCCTCTGGAGACAAAAGGGATAAGGTGACACGGGAAGCAGCCGGCTGAGCGCAGGGCTGTGCGACAGCAGCCTGTGTTTCACCAGCATTCCTTGCATTCAAGAGGAAGCTGAATGCAATTTAAGGAAACGGTCCCATCCAAACCCAGACACACCAGAATGCAGTGTGGGTAGATTTTCATTCAACAGTAGAGGAACAGAGCTAAGAACAACAACAGAAAGAACAACACCTTTATTAATTACACCATAAATACTATTGCTAAGCTCAGTTCAGCACAAAACACAGCTGAAGCTCTGAAGAAAAATAAAAATTAGTCATTCAAACTACTGCTGAACAAGAATAATTTCACTAGAGAATCCCCAGCAGTGCTTCACGTATCAGAGGAGACATGGGCTTCAGAGGAAGCAGGAGGGACAAAAGATGTTAGAAAAGCAGCTCTCAGTCTTTCTTGAACTGGGGAACCCGAGCTCCACATGTGGCCTCCTGAGGGCAGAGCAGAAAGGAGGAGAACCCCAGCACAGCAGGGCGCACTGCTGGCCCCTTCTTTCTGCTGGCTGCAGGAGGAAACACCAACAGACAGCAAAAGCCAGACTGCTACTTCTCTCTTTAAGGAGATACACGGTACCTGAGCAAGCAGAGCTCATCCTGGCTCAGCCCTGCACGCCACTGGGCTATCTCATTTCTCAACTGTAGAAGGTGCCCTCGAGCTGCGTTTTACCACATTGTCTGTCCGCGACCCCCAGCGCCTGGCTCACACCAGTCAATGCATCGCTTCCTCCTCAGAAGCTTTTGCAATTCGAACCAGGAAAGACTCGAGACTTGGTGCAAATTTGTTCTAAGGCACGGTTTCCAAACAAAAGCAGACTTCAAAGAAACCGAAACAGCTGGTTTCAGTGGAGAATTTAACTCCCCAAGCATTTCTAGTTCAACTTCAAAAAGCCTGCAGTCAAAAAACACAATCCTCTGAAATTTAAAATGGTAGAACAGTCTGAAGCAGTTTTCACTTCTCCAAAACATTTACTTGGAGGGAAGAGCAAAGGAAATGCACCAGCACGGCCCGTGTGGGAGAGCCCAGCTGACAGAGCAGAGGGCAAGGATGCAGCTCACCTGCCAGCTCTTCCCTCCCACACCTCTGGGAATAAGGCAACCCACGAAACAGAGGAGATCTCCGTGCACCTCACACCACACAGACTGCCTGTTTTCTACCCGAAGTCAGGAGGCAGCGCCGCCACTGCCAAGAGGCCGTGCAACCTGCAACCTGCTGCGAGGCACTGCGAGGCGCACAGCCCGGCCGGCATCGCGCTCCCACCTTCTTCCCTCCTGTCAGGAAAACAATCCTGCCTTGTTTCTTACAAAGCCATCTCCCGTGTTTCTCTGCAAGTTGCTCTGCTCGGCTCTGCAGTTCCCCCCCCTGGAGCACAGAGGGCTCCTGCTGGACCATCTCCTGCCAGACCTCTGTTGGCTTTCACAGCCCCAGGACCACAGCTGGGAACCCGGAGGTGGTGGCACTGCAGAGCAATTCCTTCCGACCTCCCAGAGCAGGGAGAAGCAAGGGTAGCATTTCAAGATCGCGCGCACTTACAGTCAGGCAGCATCACCACGTAAATTCTGCACTTTGCACATGTTGAATGCATCATCACCCCCCATTTCACTGAGATCACTTCTGCTTCAAACTTCCACGTGCAGACAAAAGCAGATGAACTGAAGGTCTGCTTTCTTTGCAATAAGCTACATGCATTTTAAAACCTGGGCCAAAAACAAGAATCTGTTTGGTATTATTTGCTATGGCTTTTAAAATTAGACAACTCTTTTTTTAAAATATAATAAATAAATACTCAGCTTATCTACAGTACCAGTAAGGCTTCTCCAGACAGCTTGTAACCATTCCAAACTCAACGCTGGTTTCCTTATCCAATGTCCAAGACAACTGCTGAGGCAATGAACTGGACAAAGCAAACCCTGCCACAGCAGCATGCAGGGATCCTCCACTTTCCAAAAACCCAACCTGAAAAGCTGCCTTTGACGCCTCCTGCTAAGAGCCTGACAGTGCAGAAGGCAGGGAGAACTCTTATTTAATTCTTTGCTTTCCATTGCTTGATGTAGTAAAAAGGCAGAATTTTCAAGTTTCTTTCAACTTTAAAAGACTTCAGAGTTTAAAAGTTCCTCGTTCCTCATAGCAGAGAAAAAAAAAGGCATTTTCAGCAAATTTCTGTGTTGGAAGTCACTTTGTGCTTTCACTGAGCACCGACTGCCTTATCATCCACACGCTTCACAACATGCCTAGGAGTTCAGAGGCCTCCATATATTTTAGAGAGAGCTTCGGGGGCAGAAAAGAAACCCCAGCTCTGAGCAGTCTGAGCTCCAGCCATGCACCTGCACAACAAGCTGGCAGAGAAAACTCAGGCAGTCTTCACACAAAATGAGCTTCTCTGAGCTTCGGCCTCAGAGCATTCAGAATTCTTTTCTGTGCAACTCCCTCAGACACGCCTTGAAGGTAGAATTTGCAGGTAGAATTATCCCAGAGCCATCCTAACGAGCTGTTCAAAGAGGTGATGATGTTTATGCTGAAAAACAAGTGTTTTCCTTCATGCCCATCCCTGAGATGCTACCCTGAATTCTGTTCATATGAAGAGAAAAATCACCATCAAGACAGCTTAACCCTGGAAATTCCACTGAGGACTTTGATGAAGCTAAGCCATCACAATGCAGGCTTTTCATTAAAAATAACTACATACATATGTGGAATTTTTAAAAATCATTTACTTCCAGTAAAAAGCCTCTGCTGCTAACCAAAGACACTACATAAACCTGTACAGCATGATGAATTACTGTCCTACACAAACTCACTTTGCAGCCTAAGAAACGCCATACTGACTTCAGCCAGCTCAGTAAGCCATGGGGAGAGGTGGTGCAAGACACCATGCCCACATGTCCCCCCCGAGGGGCCTGCAGGTGGATTTGAGACAGCTCATCCCATTACAGACAGAGCTACACTCACCCTACAGGGTTTGAAACCCAAGAGGCTGGAAGAAAGCAGCCCTGCTCTGCAGGACCGTGGCACGATTCATTTTTTGAAACACTCTGTGTTACTGTTGGCAAGGCAATGGAGATTCACATGCTTAAAACATTTTAAATGCTGCAGTATTTGTCAGATTAAACCAATCCAAAAGGTTACAAGTCAGCTCTGGAAAGTTATGAAAATAAAAGAAATCACAAACTTTGGCATGCTTTCCACCACTGAGAGGAAATGCACGAACTTTTAATGTGAGCATTACTCACACGAGCCAAGTCAACAGCACGCACTACTACTGAGGGAGCCTCACTTCTCACTCGCTTTCCTCCACTTATGATCCATTGAAAATATCTGGTCAGCACCACCTGGGCATGCAGGTCACGGTCCTGCCACTGGTTTAGAGGAAAATATACACCACAACATAATTACTGCTCTTTAAAAAAAAAAAACTTATTGTTTTTCCTTGTACCCAAATGGGCAAAATTCAGGCAACTTCAGGCAGATGGCAAAAACAGATTTCAGAAAGCTCAAGAGCCTGGGCTCATGCCGTGATAACCACAGCCTGCCACACACAGCCCTGGCAGCCTGAGGTGGATCCGAGCCGCACGTTCAGTCCTCGCATTCAGTGGGGAGCCGTTCTGCTGGCTGCATGATGGAGCCCAGAAAGGACAAAGTTGTGAAGCTTTTCAAACGTTCTGAGGTAACTGGAATAACGCATAAAGCAGATTCAAGTGTATGAATAGTCTTGCACAATGTATTTATAATTATAATCAGAAGTTTCAAACATCCTCCCTCCTGCACAACATCCCCAGGGAAATGCATTCCAGGGTAAAGCATTCATAAATTACTTACTGAGCGTCTTCTGAAGATTCCTGTTTTATCTTTAATGTTCTTTTTGTGGTAGGCATTTCATCTGAAAGGTAAGACCCAACACAGTTATATTTTAAAATAAAAGGCAGCAGGAATATTACTCATTTTATTTTTTTAAGGCTGAAGTTACAATCCATCTTATTTCCTAAGCCCACCAAGCCCTGCCACACGCACAAGGCAGCTCCAGTTCCTACATTAAGTGGAGTTTTTGGTTTTCCTTAGGAAATGATGTGGTCAGTTACAAGATCTGTACCTGCCTCTGCAAGTGCAAAACCTTTCAAGGACAAGAGCATAATTCCTGCAATTAAATCACAAGTCAATTTAATTACTAACTACACTGAGGGAAAAAAAGAAAGACTGTTCTGCTTTCAATAGCACATTTAAACAGCAAGCACCAGGACAAATGCATCTGTATTCCATTTAGATTTTGTGTGCCAAACGCTTCTCTCTTAACTTCTCTCGACATCAGGAATGCTGTCACCCCAAGCACACACAAATCTCTCTGTAATTCAACTGAAGGAAAACGGTGACAAACCAGGAGACCACAGTTTGAGTCACCAGAACAACCAGATGGAATTAGCTGCCATTTACACACGTTTTGAAACTTCGCCGTCTCCCCACCATTTCTCTCCCACATATTTCTGACTTCTAAGCTCCCAGAGGAAGAAGTCTGAGAGAACCAGAATGTGGTTAATTTGCAAGTTGGCTGCTTTAATATCAAACTGCAATTTAAGACTCTTTCACAGCGTTCACCGCCCCCAGTCCCCTGAACAAAGATGCGTGCAGACAGGTGATGCATCTCCTTCCTGTCCCCACTTCAGCCCGCAGATCACAAGGAAAACCACATCAACATCTTTTCCCCACTTTGTGTTCTAACTGCTGGATTTGATCAACTTCTATTTCCTCCACGAAAAGAATTCCTTTTCCTCCATGCTTCACGTCGTAACACAGTGGTCAAGACACAAATGTACTTGAAGAAACCCACTTCTTCACTGCAGCTGGACATGACAGCTCAGATCAGTGTGCCTGCTTTGCTGATCGAGAATGTGGTGGCTGGCTCCATTGGACAAAGTGAAACAGCCACAGGCAACAACCAAATCTCCAAATTAGCTCATGTGCTCATTTGTACGCACTGAAGCTGACACTACTAATTCAAGCAGGAAAAGCATTCCAAACACCACACATCTGGATACAAGCATATCCGTGTGCTTGAAGCAAACACAGCAGTTAGGATGTATGGGAAGAAGGAGAAAACAGTCATTGGTACAAATAGGAGCAGCCTGGAAGTAAACAGTGGACAAGTGGTAGCTGGACCCAAGGACCTCAAAGCTGGGCACTGCTGACAGGGAAGCACCTCCCTGATCCCATCGGGGGAAGAAAAACTGAGCAGTGGGTGGAAGGGACAGGGAGCCAGGGAACGTACTGTCTCCTTTGCCAAGGTTTATGGCCACATCACCCTTCTTTTCTCCTGATCCTGATACTCCAGCAGCCTCCAAGAACCACTGTCTGCTTTTGATGGTTATTTCCCTTTCCTCCCCATGGACATCAGTTGTTTAGCACTTGAGCACATTACATGAAAGGGGGGACTGTACAAACACAGAGCACAGAGAGTGGGGAAGCATTAACAGGACTCCTTACCTAATTCCTGCTCACCAGTCTGGTAGCAATGAAGATCCTGACTGTGGTTTCCCCAGTCCTCCTGCGAGTACTCCTCCATGGTGCTGCCATCCGACTCCAGCTCCTGGTACAAGCCACTGCTGTTGATGAGGACAGGCTGGCAGGGCTGGGAATCCCATCCTCCCTGGCCAAACACCTGCTCCAGCTGTTCGAACGTGTAGCTGCTTTTCCTCTTCCCAACACCATGCTCCTTCACACGGCTGTAACACCTGCGGAGGGTCTAAGACAGAAAGCTGCGTGTTACTCACCCAAAGGTGCTGCTTCAGCAGTGCACACATAGCAGACAGTTACACGACTGCCAGGCAGAGTTTAGAATTTTACTTCTGCTGATCAGTATTTGCCACACGCTCATGAGCTAAATGCAAGGCTGTCAAGTTAATCTGCACCTGGCAGGAAGCATCATTATGTACCTGATGCTCCTGATGCAGGTTTTAGCTTTAACATCTACAACACTGAACGAAGTTGTACAGCAGCTACAGGTTCATTGATTTAACTTGGGCAATTGATTCATTTATTCTCCTCCCCACTTCAAACCCCCCAGATCTGCCACGTAACACAGGGAAAATAAACAACAGATCCCCAGTCAGAGATACCAATCAGCCAAGGAAATGCACACCGACTACAAGAGGGGGAAAGCAGAGCCGGTGTTGTGCCCACAGCCTGAAGAAGGTGAAGCAGGGAGGAGATGGAAAGGAAGAAAGAAAGAAGTCCCCAAAAGCACAGACAGTCCAACCTTCCTTACTCTGGTAAGAAGACACAAGGTACAAAATGTATGCCTAAGCTATTCAGCTAATAAAATATATATTACTTACATATTTTGCATTCCTTACTAACTCACTCTGTCTCTTGTGAAGCTGCTGAAATTTAAAAGAGGTCAAATCAATAATGCTCCACATTCCCAGACTTTGATATCAATCATTAAGAAAGAAACATAACTCAGATGGCTCTGGCTAGTAATTCACTACGACAGCTTTCAGCACTAAGGTTGAAGCCTCCAAAAATGACAAATCCAAAAACCCGACCTGGTTTTGGTGATCTCTACCATCCTGTACTACTGGCCAAGCTGGCAGCTACACATAACATGCCTGACAGAAAGGCAGAGCTGCAGACAAAACTCATAGACTTGTACAGTTCCCCCCTAGTCCAGATCCAGGCAGAAATTTGGGTGGGGAAGAACCTTTGTGTGCATCTCTCAATGTGTTTTTAATTCAACCACCACTCTGCTTTTAAAAGATAGCATCATGCTCCAACTTTATCTTGCAAATCTCAGCAATTTGCAGACTGATAGATTTGCAGAACACGTTTTCTCACACAACATTCATTAGGTTGTTCAGATGCTACACAGAATGGCAATCTAAGCCACCTCTAGAGCTCCAAAGAGGCATTAATTCAGGAATAGTTTGGTCATCCTGTTTTCTGAAGAAGGACTACAGCTCTTAAGCAACAAGCAAGTACACATTATCACATAAAATGGTTGGTTTTCCCCCAAAAGGAACTTTACATCTACAGAAAGCTCCAACACCTCCAATGCTCCTCAAACACCTTGTTCAACAGCATCAGCAGGAGAGGAATACACTCCTAGCCCGTCTCCTCGTGATATTCAGAGCCCCGGGAGCAGCAGCAAAGCTGCTAAGCAGCAAGTCAGTTTTACTCTGCTGTTTCAAAACCAAAACCCCAACACACAGCAAAAGCCCAATGAGCCCACAGGCAGCAATAAGCACCACTTTCTATCAGCTGCTCTGGGAAAGCGATCGGGGATTCTCAGCTGGGCAGCACCAGCCTCTCCTGATTCTGTCTTTGCTGTCTCTCAGGATAAAACAGGCAGATCCTCCTTGGACCAGCAAATTTTTACATTTCCAACACCTCTGCTGCAATTGGGGTAGAAAACAACCAGCTGTGGAATCCCAGAATCAAGAACCCATCCACGAGAAGTGTCACTACTCACTGCAGACAAATTCATTTCTATGCCCGGGGGTACAGATAAGTTTAGTTGGCAAAGCTTCAACAAGAACACCTTTGGAAGCATTGAGAAGATTTGGAATGGCCAGGTGTGCCTCAGGTTGGACATCAGGAAAAATTCATTCTCCCAAAGAGCAGTGATTCTCAGGCACCAGCTGCCCAGGAAAGTGGCGCCACCACCATCCTGGAGGTGCTCCAGACCACGGGGATGTGGCACTGAGAGATGGTCAGTGGCTGCTGGTGGGGTGGGCTGGGTTGGACTCGGTGATCTTGAAAGCTTTTCCAACCTGACAGATTCTGTGAGCTCTTAGCTAGATGGCACAGCCTCCACCCAGCAGTGCTGTGATCTACATGCCTGTCCACATCTAGTGTCACAATTACCTTTCCATGACACCCTATCAAACGCTGGCTGCTGGCCTCGACCAGGTCCAGTGACACAGGATAGCACTCAGCACCACTCAACTTAATGGAAGGGAGGAGTCCTCGGGTTTATGAAGTGAGGAAGCTGAAGTGAGGAAGGCAGTATCCAAAGGCTACCTGCCTCGTCACACCAGGATACTCACGAGTAACAAAAGATGAAACCATAGCGGGACAAAAGAAATGGCTTGTGAAGTCTAGGGTGGTTTTACAGCATGTAGGGATGACTGGAGCCACGAAAGCTCCTGAAACCTGCATTCCCACACTGGCTGGAGCACAAGGAAACAGAACTGACTACAAGGAAACAGAACTGGTCGAATCCTCTGCTCTACACACAGGCTCATGAACTTTCAGGTTAAAAAAATGTGTGAAAGGCAGGAGAACATCAGGTCTAAATAAGAATATCACCACCAGAAGCCCTATTTCTGTACTTCTGAACTGAAGCATCAGTTCTCACAATAAAAAGGGAAGAAAGCACAGCTTGAACTCTAAAGAGAGCCATACCACACAGCAGAAAGGCAGCTGATGACTTAGTGCTCGAGAAACCAAGTCTACCACTGCTCCACAGAACATGAGTAAATCCATCCTTAACACTCTGCAGTCATGCAGAACCTACTGCAGACCTGCCTGAAGTGGCTCCAGCTCTGCACGTGGCCACACATCTGCCAGATCACAGCACTCAGAGATACACCGGCAGTCAAATTAATTTTTTACACCAAAGAACAAAGCCTCAATTGCATCCTGATGTGCCTCCATGCCAAAAATTTCCTGAAAGTTCTGGCTCCAGACCAGAGGACTCCAAAATGAAACAATGAAAGTGATGTAAATGCCTCAAGGGAAGACAGGTGCTCAGGGAAGTAGAGAAGTCAGTCACCAAACTGAGACAGAAACCAGGCATCTCTTTGGATGATGACTTGAAGAAGCAACATCATGCTGTGAGACACAGACAAGGGATGCTCAGGCAGTACCATAAGCCACACATTTTTAAGGCAGGTTACTTCTAAGAGCCAGAATCTAACAAAAAAAATGCAGTGGATTTTTCACCACTGCCAGTTTCTGAACCACAGTTCAACACATCTAAACAAACTAAGCCTGGACAGGTATTATTTACAGAGGCATCAATCCCTATGGCAGAGGCCAGCCTAGATGACTATAAACGTATTTCTACGCCCCTACACCAAGGATACATGGCTCCTGCTAGCTCTCTGAACCACTGCAGCAGACATCAAGCTGTCCACTTTTACTAACTAAAAAGGAGAGGTTTGGGGGCAGAAATCCCTCAAGTTTCGAGACAAAAACCCTATTGCAACAGCAGGATCTCATGGAGCCCATTAACCTGGGACACTGCAGGACTTTGCCAGAGACTGAGAGAAAGAAGATAAACTGTGGGCTAGGAGATTGCTTTGCCCCAAGTTTACACCAGGGACCACATGGAGGCTATGCTACAGTCTGACAGAGGATGAATTCCACTTCCAAAGCACATCTGGGACCTGGAAGAATTTCACTGATATTCAACCAGTACTAAGGGCTTCCATTCTTTCCATTAAGAGCTAACAGCAGAGCTCTTAAGGGCTAGGACACCCAATAATAGTCCCACACACCATTTTGGTCAGTAAAGGTGTTCTTTCCTACACTACCCAAAAACTACTGTCACTACTGTTCCAAAAACTCCATTCACTACTTACCCCAAAGCAATGAAAGCCATGTTCAGTAGACTGTCCTGCCTTTAGAAACACACTCATTCCTTAAAATTAAACATGAGTTTTCACACAAACACTGTGAATGGGACAAGCATCTCCATGCCACCCATGAAGCCTGATGTCCAAAGATAACCCTAAGTACAGCAGTCTGTACCAAAGAAATCCAAGAAGGACTTGATAGGTTAGATATCAGCTATTTGGCAAGCCAAAGGGACCACACAGGCCTACCCCTGTTGGTTCCAGGTCTCAAATGAGCAGGCAGAGCAGGGCCACAGACTAAGAGCAGCACAAACCCTCTTGCAGGTGGTAGGGAAAATGCTCTGCTCCAGAATAAGCTCCAGATGGGAGGCAGAAAGCATCAACACGGGTGGCACCCCATGGGTTACTACTCACATAGTTCTGAAAGCTGGGAGCTTTACACACGATCCTAGAAGCATGCAAACGCCCGTCCTGAGGCTGTGGTCTCCAAAGAAAGGTCCATGCCAGGCGAGTCCAACCTCAGCCTTTGTGATTTAGCTGCACAGAGAAATCGTTATCAATAGAAAGCAACATCTAAATCTAGACCAATAGGAAAAGCTGTAAGAAAAATACCAAAAGCTGTCTTAACTCCAGTTTTCACCAGAAACAATGACCAAAACAAAGGTTAGTAACTGTGGGACCCACAGCAGTCCAGAAAGCACCATCTCCTTAGCCTCCAGATTGACAGATTTAGCAGGATGCAGCAGAATCTGGAACAGTAGTGGAAGTCAATCTGCACCCACACAGGCACTTAAAGCTCTGTGCTTTCACACCAGCTTCATTCTGTTGAACATTTCAGGTGCATTCAGTTACTTCTAGAATAAACAAAATCCAAAATCAACCATCTAGCAACTGCATCATTGCCACTGGGACTCTCTTCTGATGTCAATGCAGTTTCTGCAGTATAACTGCCAATGAGATGTCCACAATTGCAGCCCACTGTGTGTATAGCCTAGGGGCACGTATTAAAAACTGGGAGGACTTTAAGATCTGGGTCCTAAGTGGTTCCCCTCCTGAGAGGCACAAATAACGTGTTCCCAAACTAAGATTTAACATTCATAACTGTGACTCGCTGCCTGCTCAAAGACGTGCCAGAGTGAGCTGCTTTTAGCCCCGACCTCTGCAGTAGAAGCAGACAGCTAACTTTGTTTCTCTGGGAGGGGAATCTCAGGGCACACCTGCATGCCAGAGCCTCCACCAAAGTGCTTCTGGCAGAGCTGCTCCCCAGAAAATGGGAAATTCTGGCCTGTGGTGCTAACCTGCCTCCCTGAACAGCACTCCAGCAAGTGGCCCACACATGGAGCGGACACAGCTGCTGTGCGAGAGCATTCATTGCACGTGATGCTCAAATCTTCCAGAGATGCTCCTCCACGGCAGTCTCATGGTATGTCCAAGAAGCAGTAAAGCAAGTAAACTCTTCAGTGACAAAGAACAGATTCATATTGTCCAGTTTACGAATGTCAACAGAAAGTTGCTCCCACCTACTGGGGCCTGTGAGGTTCTCCAGCGAGGAGTGAGTTCTTGGAGAGCATTCAGGACAGGAACTGCAAAGTGACCCAGCCTGGAAAACTAGAGGCATCTGAACCTACTTAAGACGAAGAAAGATCAAGAGGTAACTTGAACACTGCCTGTGCACATCGCAGAGGGTGGAGCCACAGGGACAAGGATCTCGGCCTGAGTAACAGAAGACAAGGGAAAATACATTAAAAAATGGAAGGCAAAGCTGTTCTGAAGGTGATAAGCTGCTGGTAAAGAGACTGATAACTCCATCCTTGGAAATCCTTTGAAAAGAGAGCCACTCTGCTTAAGGTTATTGAACCCAGTGATGAAATTCTGGGAGAAATTCAATGTCCTGGAGCATACAGAAGGTCACACTGCATTGCTGCAGGAGTCCCATCAGAGACAGCCAGTGCAGCGCTTCCTTCTTTCAAAACGACTTCGCGCTACAAAGATTTAAAAAGAGATTGTTTACATCATAAAGCAGCAAAAAACACAGCCACATTGAAAGTAAACCCTGTCATCATCATCTTACATACAGCTTAAAGCAAGAGAACACGAACAGCTGACATCCAAGCATAATTCCTCATTCCACCCCGTTTCATGTTAGCAGCACCACTTCTCCCCTTTGTGCCTGCATTCCCCGTGTGAAAGCACGTAACTGCTGTCTTCAAGGTGCTTTTTTTCACTTTGCAAAGTAAATCACACATTCTGTGGACAATCACAACCCAGCAGACACCTTCCACCTCCTGCCCAGGTGAGCAGCAGGTCACTGTGTGCAGAAAACAAGCACAAGGGCAACGGGCCTCACCAGGAGCAGAGCTTGCGAATGACATGTTCAGAGGTTGGAAGAGCATGAAACAGTGATGTCCAAGCTCACTGCCTGATCTGAAGCAATAACAAAGCCTACATACTGGATGCACCAGCTTTTTTTGGCCTTCGTATGGAACGTCACAGCACGAGGTGATACTCATTTTTCTGTGATTGTGACTCCTCCACTCGTTAGCAGCTCACCTCCTGCTCTGAAGCAATGATAAGCCTGGTGAAGGGCACAAAATAGAAGCGACTGCATTCAAATCTGGAAAGGGTTTTGCAAAATATCTCATCCTCTGCCTCAAATAATAGTTCTGAGGTCAAAACAAATAGCTGAATGCTCCACAATGCTGCACAGAGGGGATTGGTTTGGGGATGCACAAACTGCTGAGCCAGGCTAATTCTCCAAACTTGGATTGCGATCACACTCAGCAAAGAAGAGCAGGGCTGGAGGAAAAGTACATGTGCTTCAGTAAACAATTCTTTAACAAGAGCTGTGAGATCACAACTGCAGGAATGGTCAGAGCGCACTACTGTGCCAGCAGAGATTCAGGACACAGCTTGGTATGCCAGGATGAGGGAACTCTGAGGCACAGGATGGCTTCTGAGGACCCAACAGGCAGAAATCAAAACATTGAAACACTCCCGCAGCTCCCAGTCCCTGAGCTAGCTGGTCCACAGGCATCAAAGTCACGAAGCCAGGCTCTCACGCAGCAATAAGCTAGGAGTACTTGCTGGAATTATTACGTGTGACCCCTCGAATTTGAAACAGGCACTCTGGAGTGCAGATCCAAGCAATGGTCTCATTTGCAGACTGCAGGCCAGCACCGCTTATGTGCAGAAAAGCACATGCAGATGTTAGAAGACAGACAAAATGTGAACTGGGACCTTGCTTTACATCCAGTTTGAATTAGGAGAGAATGCATACATACATTCAATACAACTGGAGAGCTGGAAAACTTTGTTCTGCAAAGCTGACTTTTTCCTCTCTATCTCATTTCTAACACTCCTCGAGATTTGGCAAAGCACGGAAAATTCGGGTGCCCTGAAAGCCAATACTGAGGTCTAATCTACAATGTATTTATAAACTAAGTTAAATTTGACACATTTTAAGCACGATTTACATTCATGATCAATCAGCAAATCCTTACAGCACTGTCCCTTGAGGGACGTTAAGTCCAACTATCCTATAAAATCATGGAAATGGGGGACAGCAGGCTAGTGGAACGGTGAAGCAAAGCACTCATCCATCACCATTGCTTCAGCTCTGCTTTTAGCTCTGACAACGGATAGCATAAGACTATGAAGTCTGTGAACCACCCTTGTTCCAACAGCAAGCCCAAGCCTTCCTGCTCCATCTTAAAATGAAAGTCAAACATCAGCCTCTCTGTGTTCAAAGTGATTTTCACCCTCAGCTGAGCAACAAAGAGCCAAGCAGACAATTCTCCAATTCTAATGCAACTATTTCAATAACTCCTGTAGCAAACTCAACCTTTGGCTCTATCAAAAACGGAGCTTTTCAACGAGGGCCCGTTTTTCTGGAAAAGCCCAAGGATCGTGAAAAGCTCTGCCATGCTGACACGTCCGAATCTCCCGAGAGCGCAGCGGCGAAGACCCCCACGGCGGAGCACCGGGGCCGTGCAGGACCTTGGACAGCAGCGCGGCCAGGCGCCAGGCGCAGGGCGGAACCCGCGCGGGATGCCGGCAACCGGGCGAGGCGCCGAGGCGCCAGCGGGAACCAGCGGCGTGCGGAGGACGGCGGCGGGAACCGCTCCTCATCGAGCCGCCGACCCGGCGCCCTCTGTGGACTTCACTTAAGAAGAGTCCGTGCAGTCGAGCTGCGTGTTGGCTAGAAGCATCTGTAGGGAAACGTCTAAGAGGTCTTTCAGGAGCTGCTCTTGAAGCTATTGCAGTGCAGTGAGCCTCAGAGTCCTTCCTTCCCTCTAAACCTACATATAAAAACACAATTCATAGTTTCTTTGCAACTTACAAATGTCACTGACAGAAGACTGCTGCCAAAGCGCTTCTCAACAGACAGGAAGAAGTGTCTCTGGTAACAGCACCACGAGCTGCTGGGAAACAGACATTCCAGAGGGCGCTTTCCCACCCCAACCAGAGCCCTCCAAACACACCGCCCAGCCAGGTCAGCTCTGGGACAAATATTCTCCTTACAAACTGCTCTGCACTCGGTGAGGCAATTCCTTGTACAGCTGCAGCCACAGCCGAGGCAGCAGCCCTTAACAACAGCAGCAGGAACTCCCCCAACAACCAGAAACAGTAGGGCTGTGTAGACAAGGAAAACTGCCCTTGGAGCTTTTTCAACACTAGCACAACTCCAAGTGTCCCAGATTTGTGGAAGGACTGACTGAAGCTGGATGTTGCTCAAAACCAAGAGACTTGGAGAATTTTTGCGGTGCATGAACTGCCTGCTTCAAAGCAACGTTTCCCTCCCAAATGTTCTGATGCATTCAGGAAAATAAATCCCCCAGCAGAGAGATACAAGAAGTCAAAGAGATGACATAAGAACATACATTCAGAAAGCAAAATGTTTATAAGAAAGAGTTTTGCTTCACTCCAACAGTTTTTCCAAAGACAAATGCTAATCAGACACTGCAGGGCAAAGCCCCTGCTCATTTGCTCCTGAGCATCTCACAGGATGCTCAGTAACACACAGAGCTGCCCACCAGACATACTGCCACCAGTCTCTATTAATACTGCAGAAGTGCCCAGTTCCTTGTTTCATGCATTTTGCAAATCAAAGGTCTGGATGTTTGCACACAGCCAACCCCAGGCTCCATGGGCCAGCACAGCACTACATGACGAACAGAACAGGGCAAAGAGAATCCAACAACACCAGCGATATCAAGAACTAACAAAATGTTCCTTTCTAATTGATCAACATTTTAAGCAACTGCACTGGAAATCAAATGGCTCATGAAAGGGGAAGCAGGCCTTAAGGGACCTCAGCATTTAATTCTACCTTCTGCACTTTATTCATATTTACAGCCTGAAGCCTGCAGCAGCTCCTATGGATCACAGGTTCCTCACATCCCACCAGTCCTAGTCCACAGCTCCTTCTGTATGAGGGCGGCATTTGGATTGCTGCTCCCTGCCTGAGCCCTGGCTTTCCCTTCTCCCCAAGGAATGACACAAGTAGAGAGCCAACTCTAAAATCCAGCACCACAGAAGCCAGCTGGCTGTACCATTTAACGCAGCCCCGTAATTAAAGCAGGCAACCCAGGGGAAACATCATAGCCACGAGGCTATTCCACAGCCATGAAGGGCCCCAGGAGCAAGGGGACCCCAGGAGCAAGGGGACCCCAGGAGCAAG